TGTACTATCGACCTTGATTGAGTTGGGTAATCGGTTTAGCATCCCCTTAAGGCCATCGGCGTGATGTCCCTTAAAATGCATATAATTACCCAATGAGATTTTAAGGCCTAAATTTTAAGCTTTAAATCCTAAGCCATAAGAAATTGATCAATCACAATCGAATGTGAGAAGAATAATCGAATATAATTGGTCAATTCTTTACGGCTTAAGGCTTAAGGGGATGCTGGAGTGTTCTGTTCTACCATTAATTTTTAAAGAGACTCTTTTCTCTTAATTGTGTTTATGGATTGAAAAGTCCTTCTCCACAATTAAAGTATCAACAACAACACAGGCTGCCAGCTACAATTTAATGCAAAAAATGAAAGAAAATTAAAAATTGTAGTTTTGCCACCGGCTCCTGCAGTCTACTCGTCACAATATGTGCTGCATATAAGAGTTTCGGATTTTACCCGTTTAAAATAAGTAGCCACCAGCCTACAGAAAACTTTGAAGAACAATCCTATGCTTTTAGAAACGAGGTTGGGGCTTTGGTGTATAAGAGAAAAGAGTCGCTAAAAATTTCGTTCGTATACTACGAATAAAATTGACGTGAAGCCATGAAATCGTGCAGTATTTTAGTTGATCTCTTTCTAAGAGATGGCGTTGCAATATGTTAGATAAGGACAGATGAATGCGTTTGAGCGAGACACAACGATATATAATAAGTATAAGAAATGAATGAAAGTTGTCACTGTTGTCGAATTTGGAATTTAAAAAAGTCTGTACTATCGATCTTGATTAACTTCGACCGTCACTCCAGCATCCCCTTAAAGTTTAAGTTTCACGCCTTAAAATCCTACTGTGGACGCCGCCGCTTTATAACTCGAAAAGTACTCAATGAATATAAATTTTATTATAATGTTTTGAAAGCTGTCTCGAGGCAAGTTAGAGAATGTATGTATGATTTTACCCGAAGCTGTCAACAGTCAAGAAGGAATTGCGAGAAGGAATTATACTGCAGTTTTTCATATTTCATTCAAAGAAAATCAATTTTTCAAAATCATGAAGATTATCTCTATTTTTTAAATGGCATTGTATAATTTTTTACGAATTTCTGAGATGGATTATATATTCTATTCATTTCATATTCCTTTCTTTATAATCAAATTTTCCAACCTCGTAGAAAACCGAGACATTCATACGAAAAGTCAAGATCAAAGTAACGATCATGTACTTTTATCTCTAGAGCGAAAACGTGAAAAATGAAAATTTTTTGTATGTATGTGTGTATATGTACATAAAAATCACTTTTCACAATTCTGTTCTAAAGAAAAAGTTATATGATCGCTACCCAAATCTGTCGACCTAAATATATTTATTATTAGATATATTTATCTAAATAACAACATCATATGGATCGAAGAGTTATTCAGTGAAGAAATTCCGTATGCACCTTGACTCGCGTTGACTCTTATTAGCCTGACTACGAGGTCTGAATTTTTATGTTGCTATATAATAAAGGTTGGTTGGAAAGTTTGAAGATTATGGAAGAAAAAGTATGAAATGAATGGACTATATAATTGATCTCGAAAACTCACATTTTAAATATTAAATATAACTTACTTGCAATAATTCACTGTTTAAGTTTCCGTTATCGTACCACGTCACAATCAGTAGAGTCAGAGTCGAGCTCTGTCCAGGCTTTCATTTCTCCATTAATTCGCATGAAACGATTCGCATGAGCAATGGCTATTTGACGGGTCAATAATTTATTGTTATTCATACACGAATGTACGATTTAGATCGGTATTATCTTGCTCTGCATCTACAAAGAAAATCATGTATGCAATTAATGTATTATGCAAGTGAAATAATAAAGAAGCCATTGAAGAATTTATTGAAAAGAAACAATATAATACGAATTTATAATACGAATTCCTCATTGTTTTTCAGAATCTACTTTATTTTTGCCTTTATATCTGATTGTAAAATAATCCATAGCTGGAATTTTTGCTCTTTATCACGTCTATTAACATTTACAAAAGTTATTTTATAATTTTATTATCTCTTTTTCCAGTGAATTAGAAGTGATTAGAACAGCTTCATTGGAAGCTGTTGACTGAGGGCCACGCCCATGCCGCGCATCGGAGAATATATCGTACGCTAAATACAAGCGTATGTTAAAAGGACATAACTGAAAGTTATCGATGGTAATTGTGGTATCAGAGCAAATATAATACACCACTGTGTGTCAAAATAAAAGAAAAATATGTTAGAAATAAACTAAAATTGAAGGAGAAGAATTATTTTTATATGTATAAAATTTTATATGTATAAAAAAGCAAAAATATACAAAATTTTGATAAAGGAATAGATATAACTACAATAGAACAAAATATTAAAATTAATGATCATTATAATATCATATTATATATATATTAAAAATACATATTATAAATTCGTGAAACGATTTATCAAGAATAAAATTTAATCAAGAATAAAATTGTTGATATTTTCCGATCATTATGTTCAAAAAAATATAAAAAATTAAAAGGACTTACTTATCGTGCTCGTG